ATCTCGAATCTCAAACTATTTATTTTACTTAACTTATTAATTAAACTGGGTCTAAAATTATATTGTTTTGATAGCTCGCGTCCTCAAAAATATGTTGGAAAATTTTTGTACGTGTTAGGTGAAGTCACATGAACTTTTATATGTACAAACCATTTTTTTTACGCCAAATTTAAATTTTTGCCATATGTTATTATGTGTAACCGAACTCTACCCTTAAATAATAAATGATAAGTATGGTCGCAAAATGTTGTTCCAATAATTACAACACTGCCTTAGAAAAAAAATTCTCTTTGTGATTTAATATTTTTTTTCCTTCTAATTGTGTAATATAATATTTATAATTACTACATAACAGTGACAATTGCAGAAGAAAGAAAATATAGGCTATTATTATTATTATTTACGGTCGTCGAAAATTATTTCGTCGACACCCATTTCGTCGAAAAGTTCGTTTTGTTGAAAATTATTTCATCCTCGAGCCAGAGACCGAACGAGTTAGATGTGAGGGGTGTGGGAAGTTAGTTAAGAAATTAGGTGAGGAAAACGGGGTGTGTGGGAAGTGTGAGGAGAAATTTGTTTAATGAAGTTTTTTTTTTGTGATGAAATAATTTTCGACGAAATGAACTTTCGATCAAACAAACTTTCGACGACATGGGTGTCGACGAAATGAATCAGACACATTTTTAGTTAAATATTGGTTTAATTTAACAAACCAATAGCTCTTTTATATTGTAATTAAGTTATTGGTTAAATCTTTATACTAAAGTGATATCATAATCTTGAATAAGGTTTATTCATAAAATAATAATTTGAATAAATCAAATAATTTGAGTAATTCGAATGAGTTTTTTTACACCATTGATATTTTTACATCCATTAAAGCTTTCCATGGCTCTAAAATATAATGTATATAATATCTTTTATGGAAATTTGGTATCTATTACTTTGAAAATGGTGGAGGAGTAGTGGTTTGAAAACAACACGTTTTATTGGCGTTTTATTAGTATTACGAACTTTCAATCACTAAGGCTTCCGGAAAATGGTTACATTTATAAAATTATTAGAGGTTTTTAATTAGGTGACATTTCTAGAACAGCACTATGAAGAGAGAATTTTTATTTCATACAATTTTTTCGGAAGTTGCAATAGATAGAAGTATTACGATAAAGAAAGAAATTTTCTGTATTTCAAATGAGTTTTTTTACATCACTGGTATTTTTACATCCATTAAATCTTTCCATATAATGTATATACTATCTTTTTATGGAAATTTGGTATCCATATCTTTGAAAACGGTGGTTTGAAAATAATATGTTTACTATGTTCTTTACATAATTTCGGAAATTCTGTGTAATATGCAAAAAAAAAATCACATTAATATATAGGTAACCAATCAATATATTTATGATTTTCATAGAATGTCGCACTCAACATTTTATGTCCAATAAAATCAAACTTCCACCATTCTAAGCTAATACTTCTAGAGATGATAAATAAAGAAATTTTCTGTGTTTTAAATGAGTTTTTTTACACCACTGATATTTTTACATCCATTAAATCTTTCCATGGCTCTAAAATACAATGTATATTATCTTGCAAGCAAATTTGGTACCAATATCTTTGAAGACAGAGGAGAAGTAGGATTGAAAACAATATGTTTTATTTACTAGTGCAGTCAAACCTTTGTCACAGCAGACCTCGCCACAACGGATTTCTTGTTACAACAGATTTAAATCTTGGCCCTTTTTTTATTAATTAAAAATGTTTGTTCCACAACGCCAACGGGAGTCTTTCTATATTAATATGGCTACAGCGAATTCACGTGATATATAAATTATCTAAATTGATAAATAAATAAAAATTTCCAAGTTTCTAAAATAAAATAATAAAACAAACAATCAAATAGATTATTTTTAATCAAACAAAGGTCAGTATTAAAATAAAGCGATAAACCAAACAATTTTACCCAAAGACTTACGAGTGATGAATTTTCTAAAATAAACCAATACAAACAATTTGACCAAATGTTTGCGAGTAACAACCTTTCCAAGTTTCTAAAATAAACCAATACAAACAATTAATAGATTATTTGTCCAAATGTTTGCGAGTATCAAAATTTTCCAAGTTACTAAAATAAATCGATGACCAACAAATGATAGATTATTTATCAATTGTGTGCAAGTAACAAATTTTTACAATTTTCTAAAATAAATTAATTGATAGATTATTTATCAATATTTAAAACAATAAAATAAAGTCATTTTTCCAAAGATTCATAATAAAGTCAATTAGGTTATATATAAAGAATTTAAATCATTCAAAAATTAGTGAAAATATTAATGAAACTAATGCAATCAAATATTACATCTTGTTTCACAAAATAATTTAATTTCCCGCATGTATTAAATTTATTGCCGATCATCACTATTTTGCCACAGCGGATTTCCTATCATAACGGATTTTTTTGGCTGGAACCATGATAATGAATCCGTCGTGGCGAGGTTTGATTGTATTACGAACTTTCAATCACTAAAGCTTCTGGAAAATCGTTACATTTATAAAATTATTAGAGGTTTTTAATCAGGAGATATTTTCTAGAACAGTGCTATGGAGAGAGAATCTTTATTTCTTTGGAAGTCCAATTGTAATAGAAAGAAATTTTCTGTATTACGCCATTTATAATTCTAGATATATTAAATATTTTCATGGCTCTAAAATATACTACCTTTCATGCAAATTTGGTACCTATATTTTTGAAAACAGAATACGTTTACTATATTCATTAAAAAAAAAATCACATATAACCAATCAATATATGACATTAATTAACTGGTTTCGCCTGATAGATGGAGTCAAATTAAATAAATAAATAGTCATTTTCTTTTAACATCTAACTATGTTTATGTTGATCATCCTAAACTATTACAGCATTAAAGCGAACCTGAAAGATGAAATGTAGCTCAAAAATTTCATATATTTTTAAATTTAGCATTGTGCTGTTATATTAAGACGAAAGAGGCTATCTTGTACAAAAAAGCATACAAGTAGCATGTGTTCATCTAGAATTACTATGACCGTTGGATGATTAAAAAGCATGCGTAACTTTATATTAAGTTAGAACTGCTAAATAAGCAAATCTTTAATTTATTGAATGGAAATATTGTATTTAAAAATTATGCTAACCAAATCAGATGTGTATTTCGCGACTGCTGACTGGCTCAATAAAGGCAATAAAGACGAAGAAAATATTAGAAGGGTTGCAAAAAAAAGGTAAAATTAATTTTTTTATCTTTACAACCAAACTTGAATTGAGATAATATAAAACTTACTCTTTAAAAATGTCATTATAACAAGATTGTCATTACAACAAGCTATTATATTTATTTATCAATTCGTTTGTTTATTGTTGTTATTTTGCATTGGTTCATATCTTCATATTTTCATGAGAATAAAGTCAATGAATGAATTCCAATCAACATTAAGGTCGAAAGTAGTTAATAATTGTATTCCAGTCAGCATTAGTATCAAAATCAAATGAGATAGAATGTGGATAAAGCGATGATGAAACTGCATGTTCGTTATTATTTTCCTTATAAATATTATCTTTTTGTTTTTGCTGTATTTCTGGTTGTTGAGTCCTGAAATGAAGCGAGATTACACTATCATCTTTGTAAGAAAAGGCAGAATATGGGTGAGATGATGATGAAACTGTATAATCGTTATTATTATTCTTATGAAAATTCTCTCTCTGTTTTTGTTGCAGCTCTAATTGTTGAGTCATAAAATGAGGTAAGCTTGTGTTATCACTTGTGCAAGAAAAAACAGAATCTGTATGAGGTGATGATGATGAAGGTGCACGATTGTTATTATTTAAATTATCATTTTGTTTTTGTTGTAGTTTTAGTTGTGAGCTTGTATTATCGTTTGTGCAATAATAAGTAGAAGAGAAAGAAGAAGGATTTAGATATGATGATGGCAGAACTGCAGAAACATTATTATCTATTTGGTTTTGTTGTGGCTTTGGTTGTTGAGAAATAAAAATAAAATTTTTTAGTAGTATCTTTTCATAAGTTGATTTATGTTTTTCAAGAGCTAGTTTTGCTAATACTTTAAAGTAACTTTTTACTTCGTTCGATTCATTATGCCAGGCGTTACCAGCTTCCTTTGAAAGTATTTTCCAATCCTTTTTATTTCTAGGAGATTTATGTTTTGCATTATAATTTTTACGGTATAAGAAAAAACAGTTTTGTGGTTTTGGGATAACTATAGTATCAACATTATTGGGATTAGGTGAAATAAATTCAGTGATTTGTGAATAGACTTTACAAGGAGGATTGAATATGAGGTGAGTCTCATCATCGCCAAGTTGTGCTTTATTAATATATAATAATAACTCAGGGTCCATGTGTGTTGTATTATTTTAAATGATATATTTTTTTATTATTTAATTACACGAATATTTAAAACTTGCGATATTTAGGATAATTATTTTTTAAAAAATAATTAATTATTGGAAAAGGAAATTATTTTATTAAAATGAGAAAGAAAAAAAAATGGTTATTGTGAAAACTGGGTGGGATAAAACCAAAAATGATTGTTAATATACAAATAATAAATCTTTAATAATATTGTCATCCATATGATTGGTGAAATAATACAATGATCGGTTACGGGAAAATGTTAAATATAGAAAGAAAAGAAAAGTGCCAAATGAAAAAACAGTGGACATTGTTATAAATTAATTGGTATAGAGTCAGAACTTTGATAAAAAAATTAACCTCTGATTGAACGTTCAGCGAGTGTTAGTTATTCATTAGTACACTATGTCAGTCCAACAAAAAATGAAAAAAATTAGATACAATGTAAAATTTCAAAAAATTCAATACAATGATTGGTCATTTTTTAATATGCATCCTCGAATTTATTTTTTCATTAAAATGAAAAAAAAACAAAAACAACCGAAAAAGATGTTTTGGATTGGACTTGATCACGAAATCATAATTTTAAGTTTAAAAAACAGATGAGAAATTGGGGATACGCGCTAATCATCTTCGATCTAAATTAGATCATTTTTGAACAAAGGAATCCTTATGTAATAATATTATTAATACTATGAATACTTTTATTATTATCATATGTTCGGTAAGGCAAACTTTAAATCTAACTAATTTGATTATTGTTATGCACGTTTCAAACTCTCTAAAAAAATAACGCATATGCATAATAACAGCATTATCATTATCGTTAATAATGCTCAGTATTGTAATAAAACCTTTTTTGAGATATTGGCGAAGGGTCAATTTAAATTTAATATTAATATGCGCAAATTGCCTACTGAGAAATTGATGTAACATAAAATGACGTGGAATGGATTTTCAATTTTTGGCAGTATTGTATATTTTCATTTGCCATTTTATTTTGTCATTATTGTCATTATGTGGCATTGTAGTATTGAAAATTAACACAATGCCGTAGCAATATTACAAATATTGCTTTATAACAAGTTTTTTACTGCCGTTTATTATTTTATTCAATTTCAGTAATCTGTTGTTTAATGATTGATATAAATGAGAAGATGACAATGGTAATAAGAATTGGAATGATATAGATGAAGATTCAAGTCAGATTATACTAATGGTACATAATGTTCATTGAGTGTACTTTCTACATACCAAAAATTTGAAGTTCATATAATTATAGAATTTAGTACGGTATTCACCTTACATTCTACTTTTTTAAGAAATTTTAATTTTAATTTTAGATAAAAAACGTTTCATATTTGTTACGCAAGAATTACAGTTATGCTTATGTAATAAAATACATGTCAAAATGCGTGTAATAATTTAATCCGTCTATGAATGAGTGAAACGTCGATCCTAGCGATGTTAGCCGGCTATGCCAAACAACCCTTAGCCGGCTAACATCACTAGTCTATCCTTTTGCTATTAAGAATATTCTTGAAAAAGATACCTTTTCTCACATGAAGAAGCACTTATGGCATCATTTTGCTTTTTTTAAAGCCTTGGAGTTTTGAATTGATTTCGAAGTTTTAAAATGGTTTTGGGCATAAAAAACAGTTTCAGAGTTTCAAATCGTTTATTTTGAATAAAAAAGTTCAATCATTTGATGTGATTGAATACTAAAATTAATTATGAACAGTTGGAATAATTTGAATAATTCTTATTCGAATAGGAACTTCAAATAAAAAATAATTTTACACTCGTCTTTAACAAGTTACACGAACGTAACAATATGAAAAATTAGAGATTGGCACCGTTAGCCGTTTAATCGTTTAACCGTTTAACCGTTTAACCGTTTAACCGTTTAACCGTTTAACCGTTTAACCGTTTTAACCGGTAAAAAATCAAACTTAACTTGCAGTAAATTTTTGTAAAGATGCACAGCCTTAGTCAAACTTTTGTTAAAACTGTACATCATAACAAACGTTTATTGTTTATTTATTTTTTTTGCCAGTGGTAGAAATTCAAGATCAAAATATTCTAGTTGATATTACGTAATAATACTATTATTAATAATAAATTATTAAGGGGTATGTATATAACATTGCATTAATTAAAATTATCTTTTCCAAAAAAATGGATCTATGGTAAATGATCAGAAAGAATCGTTACGCGACCATTATTATTAGTATCAGTATTTGATATAAATTAAACATCCGTTATAACACAGTGTCTACCCTTAACTAGTTAACCGTAGAGGTTAGAAACAGTCAAAAAAACCTAACTGGTTAACCGTAGAGGTTAGAATCAGTCAAAATAACCTAACTGATTAAGTATATAAAAAAAAATCTTTTTAAAAATACTCTATTTAAGCGAAGATTAATAAAAAATGATTGTTATTTGATGATTTAATAAGATTTCTTTTAAATAATGAAAATTTCTTATGCCTGATCATTATATATCAACCGTTATATGATCTTTCAATAAACTATAATAATAATAATAGATTTAGTAACACTAAAGCAAATACATGATAACTATGATGGATGATAATAAATTATAATTACAAAGATTTCAATAGGTAGTAGATCAGTTTTACTTTTACTCTCCATTCTCTTGCATTAGCCGATAATATGAATGTGATTTCATTTCATCCACTGACCTTCGAAATAGTTTTGGCGACCAACACTAATTTTAACTTTTTACAAATTAAAAATCGATTCAGCTAATAAAATTCATATCGATCCTTTTCATTTATGACAATTGTGATTAAGAGTGATCTATATGCATTTTAAGTGTCAACTAAATTATTTAGACATTTAGACAACTAGACCACGATTGTCGAAATTGGGTTTTGTGTATATCCACGTGACTTTTAGTTGCAAATCATTACTATTTATATTAATTTAGACTTTTAGACGTTTTTTGTCTAAATACTATTTTGACTTTAGACATATCTATGTTTGAATATCGGGGGTTAAATCTTAATACCTTTACAGGGCCTGATTTAGCAGGTAACGGTGAAAGGTTGGTTTCATGGTGACCTTATCAGTTTACTAGGGGCTGTCATTTTCTTTTTTGTGTAACCCATGTATCTTCATTGTCTTTCAATAAATAAAATTATGTGACTTTACCTCGTAAAAAAAAAACTATTTTGATTTTACAACCCCAAGAACAATTTATACGCCCATCTATAATTTTAACCTTATTTTAATCGGTTAAAGAATTTTTAGACGGTACCAATCTCTATACATCTCCAAGAATAACTCCTTTTTTTCGATGTTCTTAAAAAAAAATTTGTATGAATATGTTCTTTGACATTTGTTTCACAACATAGAATAAGTTATTATTTTATAGCACTAAAATATAGTACCATTTTAGATTTCGCTCATTCATTTCAATTTTCAAAATTGTGTGTCATTAATTTGGCATGACATTATCGACAATTAGGGAAATTTAAAAATAAATTAGCAGTAATGCAAGGAATTTGATTCCCAACAGCCGTAGATTTACGAAGCATGCCATAATTCCAACAGTAAGATAAGTATCTAGTAAGACCTACAAACAACACGCTAGTAACAAGAGCTATAGAAAGAGCCAATATGGCTACGTTTTATAATTAATTATGTATATACGGTATATATAATCTATAATGGTCTCTTTTCCAATTTTTCTAGATTTTGTTTGAAATTATGCAAAAGCTTTGATCCTATATCTATCACTGTTTTGACTTTCTTCTTATTTCATCAAGGATTTACTATCCTTTTTGTATTCATTCCTTTCTTTACTTTCACTTAAAAATTAATTTTTTTAATTTTTTTTTATAATTAAAAATTTCATAGGATGATTTCTTGATCCTGAGGGTATAGTTTATTCCTTAAACTCATGTCATATATCCTTTCCTACTATCGTTAGTTGACCCAAGAGTACAGTTTTACATTATTTGTTTTTTAACTCTGAAACTTATTTCTAGTATCCTTCAGCCGCGTGTGGCTAGTTATATAATAATATATGTTTTCTTTCGATGATGATGGTGGTGTCAATTTTCTTTCTGTCCTTATCATTATAGGTGATATTTCTCCTACTATGTATCCTTTTTCTTTCAATTTAAAATATTATGTTTCTTAACTTCAATTAGTGATATCTGACAAAGTGTTTTCGTGGGTGGGAAATTATTTCGTTAATATTAATTTCGTCACATTTGATGAATGTGACGAAATGGTAATGTGATGAAAAAGAAATCTATACTCATTGAAATTTCAAACGATAATTTGTATATACTAACATAAGTGTTGAAGGCAATTTACCTTCTTCTTTTACTAGAAAGATCAGCATCTACGTTTTACAAAGGTCATTTTTCTGTTAAATGTTTGTGCTGTCCCAAAAAGTTTCAACGTGGAGAAACCTCAATGTTCGCAGCTCGTTTAGTAATTACTGTATTGGATGTGATGCGCATTTCACTTTCTTCAGGACAAAAGGTGATTATTATTATGAGGTTGGTAGTTGTTTACTAACAGAAAATAGAGATGATTAAAAATATTAACTCATAAATGAATATGATAACAATAATAATAATCTTCAGATAAAAGAGTAAAATTTAATATGGATAGAATTTTGGATTTGTTAAATTTTACCTTAAAAATCACCATGTATAAATAAAATTTTTCTGGCGATTATTACAAAATTTTATCTTCCCTTATTCACTTTCTTCTTTTCGTGAATCTTTTTTCACTTTTCCTTTTTGTCAATATGCTTTTTGCGGTAAAGTGCATTTCTTCCGGTATCTTTAATTCGTATAATATATATATAGCCTGACAATAGCTCTTTCAATAAAATTCATTGTCCTGTCATCGTCACCAAAATGCTAGCGTGTAAACCGAGCTCTTTATTTAGTTTCCCTTTGCTAGTTAGGTTTCCAGCCACTAACCGTTATCCTCTTAACAAC